GAATGTGTTAGAAAAGTAGTTTTAAATCAAGAGGGGGGTGAATTGATTTTTGAAAGTTTTTCGCAATAAGCAGATTATCTAATTCGAAAATTAAGTTTACTAATCAATTCACGAATCACAAAGCAATTAAACAATACAAGCGCGACAACTGAATTTAAGAGAGAAAGGTTAGGAAAGATTTCACCGGTAATTTTATACTTGGTTCACCCAATACCAGGGCTACGTCCGAGTCTCCGGCCAAATTCCAGTTGGGTTCCACTAGAATAGATGTTTCACAGACTCAACAATCTTACACCTACTCTAACACGAGAACCAATTTCCAGTTCCGACTTTAACCTTTCCACCAAGAACCAAATTCCAGTTCTTGGAAACCTCTGCAACCAAATTCCAGCACGCGAGAGAATCCAGATACCCAAATTCCAGGCACCAAACCTTTCACCAAGAACCAAATTCCAGTTCTTGAAAACCTCTACAACCAAATTCCAGTTGCGGAGAAACCGAGTGCCCAAATTCCAGGCACCAAACAGATACAAGAACCAAATTCCGGTTCCTGTACTCAACCTCTCCACCAAGAACCAAATTCCAGTTCTTGGAAACTTCTACAACCACCTACCAGTTGCAGAAAACTTGTACCCAAATTCAAGGTACAACACAATACAAAGAAATGAAAAGCAATTTACAAAGAAGAGACTTAGAAAGCTCAAACCGGATTACTCTAATCCACGGTAAGTTTCTTCTTCACGGAATGCAATATGCCTCAAGAAAGATTTCAAAAGAACTTCACAAAACAGTTGTAATTCTTTCTTGGAAAAAGGATGCTAACGAGTTGCTTGAATTGATTGCTTTGGATGTGTAAAAGCTGATATTCAATCTCTTGTTTCAAAGTTTCAAGCAAAGCTGTTTTTAAAGAGAATTTTCAAATCTGCTGCATTAATTAATCTGTTGAAAGTTTGTTTTAATCTGTTGAAATAGCCGTTATAATCTGTTAAAAGTCCTTTCAACCCATTAATGCATTCTTGATCTTTAACGAGAAAATGTTTTAGTTGATACTGACCACGTTTTTATCAGTTAAAAGCGTTTTACAAACATTTTCTAAGTATAAAACAATCGATTGAATCGCGTATTAATCGATTGATATGTTTAAAAACCTTCTTATAAAACTTTCTAAGTTATTTTAGTCGATATAAAGTCGTTTTAATCGATTGAAAATCTGCACATATATTTTCAAGTCATTTTAATCGATTGAAAGTTCGTTTTAATCGATTGAAAAGATTTTCTAAGTTATTTTAATCGATTGAAATACGTTTTAATCGATTGAAACAGATCTGATCAGTCATAATTCAATTCGATCGATCATATCCAACTCTGATCGGTCATAATCTCATTCGATCGATCATCCTGACTTCCAAAGTGGTTTTAATCGATTAAAACGTGTTTTAATCGATTAAAAGCAATCTGATCGCTCATATTTAAAATCTGATCGATTATATTTCATTCTGACCTGTTATATTCGAATTCCAATCGGTCATAAAGAGTTTTAATCGATTAAAAGAAGTTTGTATCGATTAAAATATTGTAAAAACACTTTTTAAAACATTCTAAGTGTTTTAAATTGATTCTTTCAAACCTGTATCAGTTAATAACTTGTTTAAGAAAATTCTTTGCCAAAATGCTTTTGTTTTTGATTTGTTAAAAACTGTTTTTGAGGCATTTTGCAAGATGAGTGAAGAAGCTTTATGCAGTGGAAAAGGTAAAGTGGTTTTACCTAAGCTTTCTGTTAAGACACACTAAGTCTTCAGCTCCATTCTTCTGAGTGACTTGTTTGACTGTTGCAGAGTTGACCTTTGACTTTATCTTTGACTTCATCAAATCACTGAGATCTTTGCTAGTATCACTTTCAGAATGCGCCCGAAGTCAAAGCACATCAGTTAAAACTTTCGAAATATTAACTGAAATAGATCATAGGATGCATATCATGAAACATTACATGCATTAAAACATCAATGAATGGAGTCCTACCCTTGTTCTCAGCAAAAAAATCAAAAATCCCATCCAGCAGCTCGAGACGGCCGTCCCAAA